CACAAAATTTCAAGTGAATCGGTTGTATAGAACTTGAGATAATGCCGGTACCGTGTGGAAAAAATTAGTTTCGAGAAAAACGCGTTTAAAAAAGTGAGTCTACCTACCTACCGGGCTAGGTACTGCGTCACTAAAGTAAATGTAGCTCTTAAAATAATTTTAATTTTTAAAAATCCTTTGGAGAATATTTTTTAAGGATCTAAACTTTAAATATATGAAAAAAAATCGATTTTTTTTTAATTCTAGAGTAGAATCACCGCTTACGAGGTTAAAGAAGAGCTAACAACAGCGCGCCAGTCGTTCTTCCTTTTCGCTGTTGCTCCTTCTCCACCTATTTTTCCAATGAAGTGAAGGTTTTCCTCTTCCTCTGCTTCCTCCGGCGGACCCTGCGACGAATACTCTCAGAGCTGGAATGTTTTCATCCATTCGGAGGACGTGCCAGCGTAGCCGCGGCCTCTTAATTCGCTGAGCTATATCAATGTCGTTACATAAGAGATTTTACAGCTCACCGTTCCATCGACTACGGTACTCGAACTCGTGAGCCCACCTTGTCAGATGTTGTCCTCGTACATGAATATTGAGAGCCTTGTGGAATTTGGTCTTTTTTTCGTTGAAAGAGGATATTACTTTTTAATTGCCTACTCAGTCCGAAGAATCCAGAGTTATTCTGAGTTGGATTTCGACGCTGACGTTGTTGTTGGTGTGAATGCTGCTTCCAAGATAGACGAAATTATCTACGACTTCGAAGTTATGACCCTCAACATAGGCGCCAAGTCGCAAGTGCGACGATTGTTTGTTTGATGACAGCAGATATTCCGTCTTGCAAAATGGTCAACATTTACTTAGTCGAAGGGATTAAATCGATTTAAAAAACGCGCTTTCTCATGAATTTTTTTAAGAAGCTATCCAGGAAGTAGACCTATTTCATACATTTTCGGTATTCAAGGGGTGTTCTAGTCTAAAAACTGTAAAAAATCGTCATTTTATACTTTCATATTCCGCTAGTTTAGATATTCAATAATATAGCTCTAATAGGAATTTTCAAAATTCATATTATTTCCGAAGTTTTAGCCATTTTACTGTCGTGGCAACTGAAGCGGTTTTACGAACAATTGCAACAACTGCCATTCTTTTTCGATTCTAATTTGAAAATTTACTTTTAACATGGCACGAATATTCTTTATCATAAATATCTCTCTATAACAAAAAGTAAGAAAAAATTAAAAATTTTTAATGCAATATATTTTTAAAAAATTCGACAAAGTTATATAAATTTATGAAAAAATCTACCTTTATGTCTTAAACTATAGTATGATCAATATAATTATATTTTCACATAATTTTCTTATATAGCGACTTTTGCTATTTTATGGTCGCAATAATCTACTTATAGTACTCGCTATTCGTCGAAAAGTGTCGATTCTTGTGCGAAGAAAACCCACAATTTATTCCTGAATAATCATTACATTTAACGAAATTGACAGTATAGTGTGGTATTTGGTCTGGTGAAATCATAAGTTTCTATTTAAAACGAAATGGAATGGAAATGGGATGCCATTACTGTTAATGGAGAGGGGTGCAGATAGATAATAACCAACTTTTTATTGCCGCAATTGGAGAAAGTTTATCTTGACGTACCACACACCACTTGCAATAACCGAATATTATTATTATTAGAAAAGTTTGGAGTTTCGATTATTTTAAGGACTTGTCACATCTAATGGCCTTGAAGAAGTTGTGATGTAACAAAAATTTGACTTCCTCTTTTCCAATGAGCCAATCTCTCTCTCTTCAAGCTTTAGTCTAATTCCAAATAAGATATATCCATATATTGACAAATATATAAGGTGTAAAATCCACTGGATGTTTGAAAACCCTTCATTCATTATATGGGAGATAGAAGATTTTCACCCAATTTTATATATTTTAGAGAGAAAAATACACTGTTGGAAAAATATTCTTTCCAGATAAGATAATTCACACATTGACCGTTACATGCGGTAAAAAGTCAAATTGGAGTTAGAAAATCTTTATATTAGATACATGAAGGCTAGGGGCATTACTGACAACATTCAACCCAATTTAGACAAATAGGCAAACTATATTAAGGAAAATATTGTAAAATAATAATATTCGAACTTTATTGATATATTTCACGGTTTGAGCGATATTTTCGGTAAAAAGTTAACCACATACACTGAGGTTCACATATGCGGTAACTGTGGGTTTAAAGAGTTATATTCCGACATAGACAATTTTTAGTCATGAGGAGGCTAATCTTAAAGTCGCCATATGTGTAAAGTTTTAACCCATTTTTTAGTTAGAGTTGTGCAGTGGAAAGTGAAAGAATCAGATTTATAAATGTATTCTATGGGGAATAGACGTACTTGTGGTCCAATTTTGTTCAATTTAAATCCGTAATATACATAGGAATGTCAGAGAAATGTTATGAGAACAAATTGTTTTATTTAGTGCAGAGATGTGTAAAGAGCCTAAAATAGCGCGAAGCGGCTCCCATTTCGCAATATTTACAAGCGTTCCAAAAAATACCCTTCTTGCGACCTGGCACGATAACATTTTTTAACATTTCCCAATTAATTCGCATTTTTCTAATTAGTCAATTTCCATTTGAAACACTTATTTACTATCTGTTTATTTATTCACTGTCCATTCGAGATTTAGTTAGATCGCTACATATTTCTTTCAGAGATTTAAGGCAATAAATAGTTTAGAGCAGCAACAATTAAATGAATTTGTTTTGCATTCTCCTGCAAGTGTTTATTTACATGCCGTACATATATATATGTATGTAGAAAAATGCACTCGTTAAACGCACACGAACAATGACGAGACAATGCCGGCAAAAAGCAGCCAAATAAATTTTGTAATTTCGCGCTGAAGACTAAAGCTGGAAAAATAAAAACAAACATGTCCAAATCACCAAGCAAAATAAGAAGTCAAACAACCACCCACCAACCARCCAAGCAAACACAGACGAAAACAAACAAAAGTTTACAGCAAAATTATGCGCTCTTCTCTCACGAATACTGGTAGTTTTCCCAGTATTCTCATGCGAAAAACAGCTCAATGACAATAAAATAAACAACGCCAGCAACAACTATGGCAACGCACCTAGAATGAGAGACCCATCGTGAGCACCTCTCAGACAGTGGGACTATTTCGCATTTTATCATTATGTCAACTACTACTGATCAGAATTAGACATATTTGTTATCAAAAAGTCAGGTGAATTTGTTTATAAAACGTAAATTCTCTATTTATTATTCCCACTTCAAAATAATCCCAATCCGAGAAAACGCACTTTTTCTAAATCTTTTTACAGCCCTACAAGCAGTCGGATTAGCATTTTTGCGCATAAACTTCAAGATAATCTTCTATTAGGCTTTTATCTCCACAATCGCTCCCGACGTCCCTGCATTGACCACCTTTGTTGTAGAAGGGGTACATTAAATATGGCCTAAGACTCCGGTTCCATGTCGTAATACTGGAAACTTAATCGGGGCATACGATAACTGCATTCAACTTATAGTGCTCTCTGTTTATTGTTGAAGATCTCTATAATTAAATACAATACTCGACCTTCTTGTCATTCTGGGACTATTTTTTGTGGGAGGTGTCAATAATGAGGGCATAGAGTCTGTTAAAATTCGCTTCAAACGCAGGCATCCTAAAACATGACCACTCCTCATGGAACTAGTATCTGAACTTAATCTGGTATCACAAAGGACCAAGACTTATGCGTGGCTCATTGGCCTAGCAGATCAACCTAACATAACCTTTTGTTGAATTAAAATCCCATTCCTTTTTTGAATGAGAAGATAAGTAATACAAGCTCCAATTAGGTAACAGCTTATCCCAAAAAAGGCTTTCCCATACTGAGTATTTCCTCATTTTGGTCAAAGAATATTTTCATTGTCATCAACCAAAAAGGCGTTGCACTCGCGACATATGGGAGCCAAGTCACTATTGACAGCAGTAAAGACGTTTCTTGACAAACAAAGACCAAAGTTACTCAAGTCACTCATCATTCTTTTGCATATTCTTATATGATGCAGAATCATGGCCGATTACAACATCTGATGAGTTACATTACGAGGTTTCGAGAGAAACATTCTGCGGAAGATTTGTGGTCTCTTGCGCGTTGGCCACGGCGAATATCGCATTCGATGGAACGATGAGCTGTATGAGATATATAACGACATTGACATAATTCAGCTTATTAAGAAACAGGGTCTACGCTAAATTGGTCATGTCATCCAAATGTATGAAAACACTTCAGGTCTGAGAATATTCGACGTAGTACCCACCGAGGACGCAGCGGATGAGAAAGATTTTCACTCCGTTGCAAAGACCAGGTGGAGAAGGAATTCGCTACAATTGGAGTCTCTGATTAACGCCAAACAATAAAAAGGAAGAACGTGTAGCGCGCTGTTGTAAACTCGCCTATAAAGAAGAAGAATAACAAACGAACAAATACTTGTCATGATAAAAATTTTGGGTTCATTAGCAATTTTTATATTATTGGAAATTAGAGTGCCGCTAAATAAATGAGCGGACTGGAGCGTTATCTAAAATCTTTACGATTAATGTTCTTACTTACCTACATATGTATAATAGCAATCGAAAAGTACAATCAAGTCTGGACTAAGTTCTTTCTTACCAATTTTGTACACCAAAAGTTAACTACATTACACAAAAATGGCCCACTATGCGCACTACTTAACGCTTTAGCAGTGCTCACAGCCACCACAGCAACAATCAAAATCGCAGCAAAGCCAAAAATCACCTCAGTTTTCTCCACTGCTTCTGTGTCTGCTCCATACAAGCGGTTAGCTCGTCGTCACTGCAAATTGGCTCGTATGCGCGCTCGTTGATTACGTTCGTGGGAGCTGTTTGGCTCGTCGACGTCGTCGTTATCGTCGTTGGCAATGCACAACATTTTCGGCTAGTCTCTGCGTTGCTCTTGTAAAATGTATACAACATTTTTTGCCAGCCAGCTTCAAATGAAAGAAAATTATATTTTTTTATTGAATTTAATGTGAGACAAATTGCTGAGATAAGTTCAAATTGTGAAAGTCGCGATTGGAAAAGTAAAGCCACACAAGAAAAAAATGTAAATAAATAAATCGGTTAAATATTTTAACTAAGTGTAAGGCATTACTTAAATGAAGAAGAAGCGCAAAAGGAGTAGAGTAGAGAAATGTAAAAAAATATAAATTACTTGTTTGTGTTGGTGTTGTGATTACAGTGATGCACACATGCACATGTAAGTGCACATGATGTGAAGTGCAAGCGAAGGACGAAAGATGAAAGCAGCTGTGGGAATCGCACGCTAGGCAAAATGAGCAGCGTACGAAGCATCCGCTTATGAAAATGCAAAATTTGACATAAGCACACATACATATCTACACACAATTATGTAGACGCAGTGCATATTGCATATTGAATATTCGAAGCTACAAAGTACAACATATGAGCGAAGAAAAAGTAAAGGAGAGAAAAATGCAATGCAAATGACATAAAAAACGAATTGTATCTTTCGCTCTGCATCTGTAATTAGTGAAAGTGGTTTTTGGTGATTAAAAAGATTAGAACAAATATTAAGATTATCTTATTTTGAGTAAATCGACTTTTTGTTTATGAAAAGAAGCTGTGAAAAGTCATAAAAATTTGTGCAGTGTTAGGGCAAATTGTTTACTTAGATGCTTATATGCATATGCATATGTATATGTTTGTATATATACATATGTATGTATATATTTGTGTGTGTTACGTGATATCTCTGTGTTAATGTAGTTGCAACACTCTTATAATTTCACTTTCCCGTTGCATCACTAGATCTGCTGAAAAACACAAAGCAAGTTGCTTTAAGAAATGTGAAGAAAGCACTAAATGGAATTTATGCTTAAGGAAATATAAAAATATTTCTTTTTCTGACATTCTTTAATAATAAGATACTGAAATACAATTAATAATATTTTATAAAAACTGAATTAAATTTACCAAAACACTAAAAAGTAATATAAGTAAAGGAGTTATATGGGTTTCCTCGGGTAAAAATAGCTTTTTTTGAACAATTTTTTTCTCATACAAAAAATTAAATAATTTAATCGAAATTTTTATTGTTACATACAAACACTATTAACAAAGAAATTTTGAAATTTTTCAAAAATCGAAAAACTATCGTTCTTCTACTATAATCTTTCTGCGCTCTAAAGTACAAAAATTTTAATGTCTAAAGTTAAGATTAATGATTTTTAGCCATAACTAGTTGAGATGGCTTCCAGATTATTAAGCAAAAAAAAAACACCAAAAAATCCTCCTTCGCGGTGCGATCAAAACACTTTCTTCGGAGGTTGTACACTTGCCACGAAAAACAATCCATACCAAATTTAGTAAAGATATCTCTGCAAATAGAAGATTTCCATACAAAAGCTGCATTTTGATCGATCAATTTGTATACGATCGCACCTTGTCTCGTTTTTTGGGATCATAAAAAATTTCTCGTAATTTTTTGAGATATGTTAACGAAATTTAATAAATATATGCACATTGATATTCTAATGATCAAAGAACCGATTATTCCGATTTTTTAAATTTCGCTGCATCGAAACCTGTTTTAGACCCATATTCTCCTGGGCAAAGATGCGTTTAACATTTGCCGCGTACGCGATTTTATAGAAAGATCGAACCGATGTAATGTATACACTTTACAGGATCTCCAATGCTAGCCTCTGCATATTACAAACTTTTAGGCAAACTTAATATACCCTGTTCTAACAAATCTTTGTAAAAGAGCTAACGGACAAACTTTAGATAACTATAAAATTTTTGTAAATTTTTTGAGAAAGTCAGAGAGAGAGACGAGAATTGTTTTATTACGGTTAAAGGAAATTTATTTCATAAATTCTGGGCAAAGAGCTATATAGGATTATAAATTGGATTAAGTATCAACAGCCATAACGATTTATTAATATATGTCATACAGCATTGATTGTTTCAAATTTTAGTTTCGATATCTCCCCGCAAAACTACAGGGTTTATCCGGAAAGTAAAAGGACTGAGTCAATTTATTAAACCAATCGTTACAATTCTTTAAAAACTTTCAAAATAGACTCCTTCTGCTTCAATGTGGCGCTGCCAGGATCGAAATCAAATTAGCTAGCATTCAAATGGGGTTATCTGACAGAGATTGTTTACCATTACTTACGTAGTATCGTAAGCCTTTCATATCATCATGGTGACTGAGTTTTAATTCAAGTTCACTGTAGCATAAGATTGCAAAATTACTTTTGCTTACTGAGTTAGCTTCATATGCTTATTATATTGTATGTACATACATAAAATCTATTAGAACTCTTGACTACATCCAATTACGAACATCAGTAGAACAACATTTGACACTTTTATCCATCAAAACATTACTTTCGACTTATTATCGAATAACAACTTGTATATCAAGTCGCTTCAAAGTACCTCAACTTTCAATCAAACTTCTAATTTCTAATAACTTTGCCTTCAGATCACAATATTTCCGTTAAATTTACGTAATACATTTTGACAAAAAAAAAAGTACTGGGATACGGTAAATAAAAGAAAAAATATTTAATTATTCATCAATATTTATTTTGTCTTCTAATCCCCACCAAATATAATACTCTTATGCCAACGATTTTAGAGACACTTCAGTTCGATCCAGTTTTAGAGACACTTTTCATAACCACTTTCTGGCATGGCCTTCAGCTTCTTTAGCGAATTTCGTTTTATCTCTTCGAATGACTGAAAACGCGTTCCACGGAGCAGCAATTTCGGTTTGGGGAACAAGAAAATATCACACGGAGCCAAATGTGGTGAATACCGTGGTTGATCGATGGTATTCACTGCGTTTTTGGCTTTAAATTCGGTCACAATCGTGGCTCAATATCATCGTGCAAAATTTATAAATTGTTCTGCTACAATATTCTTACAAAAACGCCTCAATATGACCAAATAGAAAACCTTATTATCCATCTGCCCCTCCGGAAAAAATCATGAAACTCAAACCACGAATATCGAAAAAACAGTGAGCCTCACATTGATTTTTGAGCGGTTTTGATGTGGTTTTTTTCTTATTTCAGCCCTTTTTTTTCCTCCATTCCGATGATTGTTGCCTTGTTTGCATATCAAACAATTTTCGAACGGACTCTCGAGAGATGTTGAGCTCTCTTGTCCTCTCTCTAGTACTTGCCTGACGTTATTCTAGCATTCTACTTTTTTAATATTTTGATCAGTTAAACAGGCCGAAGGTTGTCCAGAACGGCTCATGTCTTCAAAGATCTCTCGACCGTTTTTGAAGACTTTATACCACGCGTAGGCTTGTTCTTTTTTATGAAACTGAGTAATTGTAAGCCTTTTCCAATATTCGCAAAGATTCCTCACACGAAGTTTTTATAAATACAAAGTTTGTGAAAAGTTCTTTCGATATTTTTATCCATTGTAAAAATCGCAACTCACTACTGAGATGTACCGACTTAAGCAGCTGCTGTAAACATGCTGGTTTACAGATCGTGCTCATATTTGGCATGATAATGAGAGATAGTGCCACCAACTTAGCAAAATATATATTTTTGAAATATCATTTATCCTACAAATTTAAATTACAATTTCTTTTTTTTATTATATTAATAAAAAAAAACAAGATGACAAATATTTTATATTGGAATAAAAATATTATATATAAACAAACTTTTATATCTTGAATACCTTATTGTAAATTATCAATAAGAACTTAATTATATTTTCGCATATTGCTACCAACTTATATATACACATGCACATATACTAAGTTTCCCATTCACCATTGTCATAGTACCTTTAACTTGACCGTTGCAACTGCACTTAGCCAACGCATAAATATCCCACGCAACAGTCGCTCTCTCTAATGCCAACAAATATGTGTATAGTAACTGTACTGCTATTTCTCGTATAGCAACAATGACGGTTAAACCAGGCAGCAGTCACCTTTCCGCTCGCTATGTCAATATTGACTAAACAAATACTTCATTGCCGTTAGTTTCACCAAAATATTACTGTTTTAAGCTCATATTTGTAGTGCGACTCTGTTTGTATCCTGCATTGAAAATATAAACAGTTATAAAAATAAAATACATCGCCATTTTCGCTAATTCCAGCTGTACAGAAGTGATTACCGACATAAGTGAATGTTGATATTGCGTAGTTAAAGGAAATGAAATATATTGTTCGCATTACATTTTTCCCTATTATTCTTCCTTCAATTCCTGGTAATGTTCATGCTGCTGACGCATATTAAATATTTTTTAAGGAAGAGAAGTAATGGAATAGTGGAACGGTGTTGCGTCTAGATTTTAGAGAAAATAAAAAAAATGTGATTTGTATAATGCATTTGAAAGGTCCAGTTTGAAAAGCAGTGGCCAAAGTGAAATTTTCTATTTGTGTCTGTTAGACGCCTTTATTTTTCGTAGTTTGATAATATCTTATATACTGATTGGTAATACCCAATTTAGTTTCCAAATTTCAAAAAAAATCTCATTTTTTGGTACAACCAACCAGCTTCGGTTGTTTTCATGCTAATCTGGTGGACGTAACGGAAAAAGTTATACTTTTAAAAGAAAACAGCAAAAAGCGTTCACTTTGGTTACACCCATGGATCAATGTCGTGGTATACCTCGTACAGCTCATCGTTCCAGCGCTGTTGCCAATGCGCAAAAGACCATAAACTTCCGCAGAGCCTTTATCTCGGAAACTAGTAACGTCGACTCAGCAGATGTTGAATTGTTGAGCTTAGTCGTTTTTCGTCGAGAGAGAACTTTATTTATCAGTTGCTGCTCAGTCCGAAATAACACCTGTTCTCAAGAGATATCCTGCGTTGGATTTCGAGGCTGATATTGTTGTTGGTGTTGATGATGGTTTCAAGATAGACGAAATTATCTACGATTTTGAAGCTATGATTGACAACAATAACGGGGCGTGCGACGACTGTTTGCATGATGTTAGGAGGTTTTCTACCACACTCTTTTTCTTCGCTTCCTCATCAAGTCTAAAGAAAGTAAAACTAACGGAACAGTTGTTGAGGCTAATGATATCAATACATTC